ACACATGAGACATATGATAAACAACACATGAGACACAACACATGAGACACAACATGAGACACATCACATGAGACATGTGAGACACAAGACATGAGATATGCAACAACACATGAGACACAACACATGAGACATGTGAGACAGAACACGTGAGACACTAAACGAGATGTGAGATACAACACATGAGAGACAACACACGAGACATGTGAGACACAACACATGAAACACAACACATGAGACACAACACATGTGACACTACACATGAGATGTGAGACACAACACATGAGAGACACCACATGAAACATGTGAGACACGACACATGAGACATGTGAGACACAACACATGAGAGACAACACGTGAGACACAACACGTGAGACATATGAGAAAAAACACACGAGACACACCACATGAGACATGTGAGACACAACACATGAGAGACAGCATGTGAGACACAAAATATGAGACATGTGAGACACAACACATGAGATGTGAGACACAACACATGAGAGATAATACATGAGACACAACACATGAAACATGTGAGACACAATACATGGGACATGTGACACATGAGACACAACACATGAGACGTGAGACACAACACGTGAGACATATGAGAAACAACACATGAGACACAACACACAAGACACAACGCATGAGAGACAACACAAGACACAAGACTTGAGACATGTGAGACACAACACATGAGACACAATGCATGAGACGTGAGACACAACACATGAGACATGTGAGACACAACACAAGAGACATGTGAGACACAACACGTGAAGGTGCTGAGTTAATTTGAGAAACATGAAGAGCTGCAGCGTGTGGAGCAGTAGAGGGTTCTTTAAGACTGCGGCCACTCTGGAGAAGGAAGTGGTCCAAACCGGACTTCATCTCGGCTTCATCTACATTTAACTTATTTGGGGGAGTGGTGGCGCCTTTGATTGGAAAGTCGCAGGTTCAACTCCCGGTACCGTCAACATCAAAATGTGGGTGGAAAAGATAAAGCACCTACACCTGCCTCCACACTCATTCAGCCCACTCTGGGCCCCTGAGCAAGGCCCTTAACCTCCACCATCTGCTCCTAAACAGGCCTCTCTTGAAAATGAGTTCTTGTGACTCAATAAGACTACCTGGATAAATAAAGGCTAAATGAAAAAAACAAAAATCTCAACATCAGAGCAGATTTGTTCTTTTTCTCACATGGTTCTGAATCAGATCCATATCTGATGTTTTTCAAAGTGACCTTCGTCTGAACCGTCATGACGTTAGTAGTATCAATATTATCAATACTATGAGGACACGGCTTGATCATCCATGCAGAACTCCACCTGGCTGAAGAACAGAGGTCTAGTTTTTTAACTCATCCTGTTCTGGAGGAGTGTTGGACCAGTCTATGGATCCATGCTTGAGTTTGGTGGTCCTGAAGTGATCTTCTGCTCCTGAGGAGGCAGGACGATCATGGCACCAGACGATGCTGTCAGATGATAGAGGGTTCTGATCATACAGCTCTGGACCTGATCCACTCATGCTAACGTGTAGCCTCATGTTGGAGGCCTGCATGGCCCATTCACCCTGGAGTCCGACAGAGGTCCAGTTTCAATTGGACTGAGAACGAGCACAGGAACCTCAGAACTGAGTGTTTGGACCTGCAGGGAGAGTGTGGTGTGGACCTTCAGCCATGAAGTGTGTTTTTATTCCAGCTGGACCTTCTTCCTTCCTGCTGACCTGTCACCAACCTGTTGATGCACATCTGTTAACGTGTTGGCATGTCAGTAAAACATCTGTTGATGCACGTCTGTTAGCGTGTCAGCGCGTCAGTAAAACATCTGTTGATGTGCATCTGTTAACATGCCGGCACGT